AAAAAAAATTAGCCTGTCTATGATGTGTAATAACATAAATAGTAAATGTAAATTTGAATACATATTTTTAATATCTTAAAAAGTAGAAATAAAGTTTCAAACATGCCGTATCCGTTAGAAATAATCATTATAAATTAAAGTGCGAAGTTGCATGATACTTCCAGAATTACGTAGCATTTCTTTTTTGAAAATAAAGGACAATTTAACATTTAAATTATACAAAATTGTAAACTATTTAACACCAATATCAATACATAGAGAACAAATGCATTCACTTATCCTTATTATAAATCTTAGAACACTCGAAAACATATTCTGAAATCCATTTATTTTATATCATATCATTATTATAAGTATATATTTAATCAATAACTTCAATAGCAATATTGTAGATTAATTTTGAATTGAGAAGTTAAAAGTTTCAGTGTGAAATTGTTTTCTGAGTTTTTGTTCGATATGAATATGTTTTAACCTTATGTCTCTTTTAAAATCAGATATTGGAGGTGAAATAATATTATTCCATTAAGAGATTATGTCTGACATAAAGCACTTAGAATTAAAAGAAATTATTTTTAATTTCCTCGAGGAAAAAAAAATTCGAACTTAATCAATTTTAGATGTTTAATCATTTGATGCATCACATTAAATATAGTGGCTTAGTTGGGCAAGGAAACACTGGTACGCCATCCTGGAAAATATTTATTGATTTCAATATTTTTTTTCTCTTGAAAAGCTGTGATCAAAATTTGATGGATATTCTCTTGTCTGAAAATAAAGCCTGTCAAGTGTCATTTGAGAAAACACTCATGCTAATGAACATTAGTAACATCTTAAGAAATAAAATTAAGAGCTGGTTGTGGCTTAGTTAAAAAAGGGAAACACTGGCACTCCACACTGGAAAATATTTATGAATTGATTCCAATCTTTTGTTCGGGAAACCATTGATCAAATTTGATGTGTGTTCTAACTTTTCCTGAAAATGATTCCTATCAAATATCTCTATAAAGAATCGTATGCAGAAGAACACTGTTGAAACCATAAAACCTTAAGAAAACCATAATAGAACGTTCTTCGCTAACATTTCGATATTTTATTTTTGATTTTACTGTGAGAGGGTATAATAAAATGGTTAGTAAAGAATAAAAAAATGTGCTTACATAGTCTAATATATCTAAAGCAGCTTAATAGAGTACAAACTGAATATGGCATGAAAATAAATTGACGCAATACTGTAAAGAAATACAAAAATTTCCCTATTTGTGCACAAAATGGAATGAACTAAATTTATGTCAAACTGGAGTAAGAATTTATTATTCTCATTGACATAAATATAATTTAGTTTGCTAGAAGATCTTATTTAATTTAAATGAGGATGCTATTTTCTGTCATTGAAGTTTTTAAATGGTTATTGAAGCTGTAACGTAGTTTATTTAAGGACTATATTTAATTAAATTAATAAAATATTATTTTGTGTAATTGAAGCCCTTAGTTCGATGAACTTTATATAGTTTGAGTTTTTTTATTTGATCAAACCTGTTAACATTGCCTTGATGCAATATGCCAAATTTATTAAATACTAGCGAGGAACTACATGAACGGAAAAAGAAAACTAAGGTTCTTACTAGATTTATTTTTGTACTGTTTAAAGTGAGTGCACTGTTGCCTATAACAGGAATCTCTGGAGGCAATTTAAGAAAAAAGAAAATTTCAACAATTTGCATATTGTTTCACGTACTCATAACATTATCATGTATTTTGTTATTTTTATCATTCTTGGCACAGCAAGATGCTTCATCAATAAGACTAGGAAATACTATATCGGCCGCTGTAGTAATTGTATTTCGCAGCGCCATTCTGCACAAAATCCAATCTCTCAAAGACATCATCAATGATTTATATAAGACAAATGCAATTCCGAGTATACGAGAGATGAAATACATATATCTATGGGTAATCATAAGCCTATCAGTTCATGTTCTACATTTTATATTAGCAACAATTATATCATCCGATTTCTCGGATATAGAAAATAATTTTTTTAGAATTACCTTCAAGAACGAATTTTTGAATATTTTTTTGGCCATTATAATATCTTTCAACTTTACGATATTTTTCATGTTGCCTATCAACACATTTATCACATACTACATAGTAGTCTGTCACCAGCTAAAGTCAGCTTTTGAAAGTCTTGAAAAACTGCTTTCTAATGAAGAATTTTTAAATTTCGAATCCCTTGGAAAAAAATATATTAGTTTCAGATCAAGAATAATTCATATTGACGAAGAACTTTCTCCTTTAATTTTTATTGTAATTGTTTCAAATGCTGCAATTATGTATAATTCGGTATCGAACTATCTCAATGTTGACGATTTTCAACATTCGTCAGAAAAGTACGATTATGCGACTTCTTGGTTGGTTTCCACCTTCAGTTTTGTGTCTTTTGTGTTCATATTGATGTCAGCAGCTTTAGTTTCAGAATCGTCTACAAAAGTATATATTGCGGTTCAAAACATGCCTTGTAATGGGTTTTTTTCTCGATAAGCAAGTCTTTCTTTCTTCTATGCAGAAAGAAATTAATTTAACTGCTTGGAAAGTGGCTCCTATCAAAAGAAGTTTTATTTTGGGTTCTTTGGGGGCTATTTTAACTTATATTGTCTTATTGGATGGATTCAGATTTCAAATATAAATTTTTTTTTTTTTTAAAAATAGTTGCCAATTTGTGTTTTTTGTCTCTCATAACGTATAACAAACTGATCATAATTTTAATAGCCTGAAAATTTTTTTTATAGTATTATCCTAGAAAGAAAACATTTTGGTTATGTTAACACTTTCGGAACATTTTTTTCGAAATGTTGTTAAGTTCCATTTTTGACATGACCTAATTTAACGAGATCTCCAAAGTAAACGAAGAAACTTTTTTTAAAAAGTAGGTTCACTATTTTATTTGTTATTATTGGGTTATTACAAATATGTTATTACTAGGACTGTTTGTAGAAATTTTATTTCCTTCGAACAAGTTCAGAAAAATGCATTTAATTCAATTTGTTCGAAAGAGCCGGGATAGCCTAGTTGGTAGGACGTTGGACTTGTGTTCGTAAAAAGGGGAGATCTAATCCAGCCAGGCGAAGAATCCCCGTGTATTAAATGGTAGCTGGTACACGTTAAATCTGTTGTGGTCACTAAGTTCTCTAAGCCCCCTTAACAAATCAAAACCTCTGGGGATACTTGATCCAGGAGTTCACTTGTCTTCTGGATTGGGTTTTAAATTAAAAGGCTATGTAGTTGAACATTAGTAGTCGAACCCTTAAATTTTGGTCGGCTGTTCAACAACGGTTATAAAATAAAATTTGCTCAAAAAAGCAGTAGTGGTTCTGGGGATGTAGAGCATTCGCCTTCCAATGAATTGTGCACCGGGTTCGAATCCTAGCAATGACTTTTGCGATGCGAATTCCGCACCCCGGCTTTCACCGATCACAGTGCTGACGTAAAATATCTTCATTGGTAGAAGGATCATTTGTTAGAGTCCCCCTGCTGTCAGGCTAACCATGGGAGGTTTCTGTTGTTTTCCTCTCCATGTAACACAAAAACGAGTTAGTTCTATCAAAAAGTCTTCCACGAAGGCAAATTCCTCCCAATATTTGATACAAAAATTCCCCTGTTTTTTGGATAGAGTTCAAAATTGCAAGGCTATGCAGTTAAGCATTAATAGTCGTAAACCCAAACGACGGTTCAACGACTGTTATAAAATAAAATTTGTTCGAAAGAGACGCCTTGGGTCGGGGGATAGAGCATTTATCTCCCAATGAGGTGAACCAGGCTCGAATTCCAGGGATGGCTGATCGTTACGAACCCGCACTCGACTCACACCGACTACAGTGTTGACGAAAAATTTCCACAGTGTAGTCCATTGTTTCTCTACGGGAGCGGTTGGAGTATGCTGAGGGCCGCTGAGCATGTTCCGTCATTCAGATTTTGTACCAGCAATAAAACGAACTTATGCGACACCTATTCTCCGATTCGAACCAGCACAGCGAAGAGCATGAGTCAGTAATTTTTGCCTCTGATCCAAGCCATTTGGTGCATGCGCTTTTAGAATATTAGATTTGACCCGTGTTTTTCATGATAGTTTTCGTTTGCTTCCTTACAGTTTTTTCCCCTGTTCCGATTCGATTTGAATGTTCATTGTGCCAGGTGCGTGGGAGAATTATTTCTTTATCGTAAATTATTTATTAATTTGAAGAAATAGTTGATTATTTACACTGTTTGTATTTTGCTGACACCATTGTCGGTTAATATAAATAGAGTGTCGTCAATACAGTGCCACGTATTTGAAGTTTGGATTTGTTCAACTGCTGTCGAACTTTCAACTACCCATGTATTTTATTTTATAACAAAGTTTTATCTAATGAGGTAATGGAACCTTCCCATTGGCAGGAGCATTTGAAAAAAATTCATCCTGACAATCAAAATAAAGATATGTTATTTTTAAAGAACATCAAAGACAAGTTTCTGAAGGCGCCTCCGGTCTCAGGCTTACTAAAAACGTCCTCACAAGAATGCGACGATGGTTTGATAGCCTCTTATAATATATCAAAATTAATTGCTAAATCTGAGAAAGCTACTCATACCATCAGGAAAGAGTAGATACTGCCGCCTGTCAAGGAAGTTTCAGAAAGAGTTTTACACCACCCAGCCGCATCCAACTAAATCAAAAATATCCCATTTAGCAACGATACAACGCGGCGACGAATGAATGAGATGGCTGAAGACGTTGAATTTTCCTTATGCAAACTTTTGATATCAAACGAATTTTCCCTTCAAGTTGATGAATCAATTTTGCCAAATAGTGTACGCTTTGCTGTTGGCGTGCGTCCGGTTTGTGAAGGGAAAAAAATTATTGAGGAGATGCTTTTTGCTTGATTGTAGATACCAAAGGTGAATCTATTTTTAATACTGTCAAAGATTATTTTAAAGAGAAAAGCATTCCTCTTGCGAATATTATGTCTGTTGTCACTGACGGAGCTCCTGCCATAGTGATACGACATGGTGGGTTTATCGCCGTTTTGAAGAGGGAGGTACCAGATATTTTAGCTGTTCACTGCGCGATTCACAAGCACCATTTAGTAGGAAAAAATCTCAGCGACCGTTTGCATCAGTCATTGCAATATGCCACATCTGCTGTGAACAAAATTAGCAATAATGCTCTCAACGATTGTTTATTGAGACAGATGTGTAAGAAAAACGATGAAGAATATCGCTTGCTACTGCACACCGAGATTCGCAGGATTCTCAAAGGCGCCTGTCTCAATAAGGTTTTTAATCTTTTCGACTCTGGGATTGAGTTCCCCAAAGACAGAGATGTAGCTTTGAGAGATAGATTGTTAGAATTTGAGACAGACGTAGGTGGATTTATTTGCAAAATTTAATGGCGTTTATTTAAACTTCAAGGCAACCAGCCAAATTTGATCCCAACAAAATCAGTTATTTCTACCTTTCTAAAAAAAAAAACTCATTTCGTGGAAGCAGAATTTTGGTAGGAATGAGTTCAGCCAATTTCTAATCTCATCGTATCTTAAAAAGAATGGCGAAATTCCCTCTGATGTACACAAAAATATTGTCTACAATTTGACTGGACACATGGACTTTTCTGGCCATTTTAAAGATGTTTTGTCCCTGGAAGTCTCTTAATGGGTTGTGAACCCTTTTTTGAATATTGAAACAGCAGAGATTCAGATTCAAGAGGAATTGGTCGAACTTTGAACTAATGAAGCTTTGAAATGGTGATCGTCTCACAGAATTTTGGCTTCAAGGTAACATCAGTCGCCTCTACCCTGAACTGTGGACTAGCATCCAAAATTTTTTAATTCCCTTCCCTTCAAGTTGAACGTGGGACGTGGATTCAGTGCTGTTACAGAACTTAATCACATAAAAGCGAAATTAACTGGAAATCGTGCAATGAGGGGACTTTACTTCTTCACCTCACTAAAAATATTGAACCGAACATTAAGAAACTAACTCTTAACCATTAAGGGGACAATGGACGTTCGAAATACACTTTTAGCTGTAACTTGAAAAATAATTAATGTTTTCTTAAAAAAAATTATACACAGGCTTCTATTGAGCTTACCAATATTCAATAAAAATTTCATATGGCTAGGAGGAAAATTAAAATTTTTGGTTTTGAACGTCCATTGTCCCCTTAAGTACAATCATCCCATTGACATTGTTTCGTTAATACAACTTTTTAAAGTAAAAAAATTATTTTTGGGTGTTTTTTTACTTATCTAATTAAGAACAAATGAATCTTTTTAAGCATAGTTTTCTTCGTTGTATTTTTTTTCCTTACAGTATTTTTTATTTATTTATTTATTTTTTGTCGTGTATTTAGCCGTTCGAGGCTATGTTTACGAACTATCACGCCTACGCAATCGAATTGGGACTTTCCCTCTAAAAGTTTCAGTTTGCATTCCTCATCTGTTAGCGTTGCGTTAAGACGCATCTTTGTATTCCAAATTCTAAATGTTGTAATTAATTAATAAATAGTGCTTGTTAGATATAAGAGTGTTATTTCCTAAACCCCCACGCTATGGGACAGCACAATTATTTTTTTTTTATTATGACAAATTGACTGCGATTACCTGCCGGAAGAAAAGTATTGAGTTAACGTGTACGTTAATTATTTTTAAAAAAAATTTAACGTCTAAAAATTTTTTAACAAATGTTGCCTCTTATAATTCAGCATAACCCCTCCGTCCCCATGCTCTAAATAACTGGATTTTTACAAAGGAGGGCTTTGAAATGCTGCTTGCTCCTCAAGGGGGGGGGGCAACATTAAATAGGTTTAGAATCTATGGTGTAAACGGATCATAGGTTAGAGTCCCCTTGCCGTCAGACTAACCGTGGGAGGTTTTCCTTCCCATGTAGCGTACATGCGGTTTAGTTCCATAAAAAAAGTCCTCCACGAAGTCAAATTTTGCTTAATACTTGATCCAGAAGTTCCCTTTTCTTCCAGATTAGGTTTAAAATTAGAAGCATATGGAATTCGTAGCCGTAAACTAAAATTTGTGTCGGCTGTTCAACAACAGTTGTAAAATAAATAAAAAAATTATTCGAAAAGTATACATAAATAAACAAAGATAATAAATGAGAAGTTTCTCTTAAGTCTTGTAATGAATCACACAGCTGGAATTACAAACATAAGATGTTGCCGTGCAAACCATTGAAGATATTGTATATCTACTGCTGCTCGTGTGTCTGAGTACATGTCTGTGATGCCAGAATTGGCATACACATAT